AGTGTTGGCCTTGGAGCTATGAAGAGCTCGATTCTAATCCTGCATCTATAATGTTGGTTAGGTGGCCTCTAAGGTCCATTCTTTCTCCAAATCTCTGATCCTAATTTCTGNTGTTGGCCTTGGAGCTATGAAGAGCTCGATTCTAATCCTGCATCTATAAAATTGGGATAAGAATGGTATCTATCTCAGGGAGCTGTTGCTACTATTTTTGTTTTGAGATCAAATGCGATGATAAATGCAAAGTGCTCAAAGGGCTATATAAATGTTGGTTAGGTGGCCTCTAAGGTCCATTCTTTCTCCAAATCTCTGATCCTAATTTCTGGATTTGAATCCCAGCTCATTGTCTTACTACTGGTGTTGTTATGTACAATTAGGTGTTGACCAGGTTGATCTGCAACGGTAAAGGGGGTTTCTTCTTTAGGCGGTTCCTGTATCAATGAAATCACAACTTCAGTCTCCCCCTCCCCCAGAAAAGTGAGGCAATCAGAATAGATCGTAGGTGGGTAAATTTTGAGCTAGAAAGCACCTTAAAGGTCATGTAGTATTACTCCCTCATTTTACAGAGGAGGGAACCCAGACCCAGCGAAGTGACCTGTCCAAGTGGCAGAAGCAAGATTGAAATCCAAGTCCTCCAATCCAAAACCAGTGCTGGGTCTACTGTGCCACCCTACCTCCACTGCTGGCCTCCACTGATTCCTCTAGTTCTAATCATATCATACTTCTGCTCCTTCCTCCTCTCCCATTCTTTTCCTTTCTGTACAATCATGTCTTTCCATGAAGCCAGGCCAAGAGGTTTCAGCTTCTTTCCAGGTACCTTCTGTCTCACCTTGGATCCAGGCACACTGGAACTCCCCCAAAGGCACAGACCTGAGGAGCCACTCATGGAAAAAAACAGGGCCACTCTTCAAGTTCGTCCTATTTAGTAGCCTGACATCCAAGGGATTTGGGGTTAGACAGAGATAAGTACTTAAATACTACCTAGTAGAAGAGGCCCAGAATAATCTTCCAAGTTTCTGGTGCCCTCTTCTGTGTTTTGTTTTTACTTTTTGTTCCCACTGTGATTTCACAGTTTTAGGGAGTTCCAGGTGAGGAACAAACTCTGCCAGAGTAGATAGATAGTGCCTGCTCTGAGTTCTATATTCTCAAGAGTGCCTGGGGCACTAAGAGGGTAAGTGATGTGCCCACCATCAGGTAGCCAGGATGTTTCAGAGACAGGATTGGAACCTAGTCTTCCTTACTCTGAGGGAAATGTCATCATGCTTTATCAGGCATGGAAAGGGAAGGGGGGGGAAAGAGGGGAAAGGAGGAAGGGGAAGGAAGGAGGAGCCAGGATCTGGTCATCTCTATCATCATTCCTGACAGCCTTTGTTTAGTCCTCCTTCAGAAAGTTACTTTATCATTGAAATTGTACATGTAGGAGTTTAAAGAAGGCGTGATACTCTCCCAGGATTGTTTAGTAAAATTGGATCAGAAATCCGAGAATTTTTTATTCTAATTCTGGCTCTGAAGTGACTTGAGCAGATAAGCTCCCTAATCTCTTCCTGCTTTGATTTTTTTTCATGTATTTAAAATACCACTTAAGGACAATAAATGAAAGGATAAGAAATGTAACACATATGCTTTATCAATAAAAGCATATGTGTTCTTATTATTTGTACTACAGCATTGATTTACCTCTTCTCCCTATCATATGTGTCTTTCCTTCATCCTTTTCAACTTCTAAAACATGTTGGAAAATAGAAATAATTTACCTTGGGAATTCTAACTGGGTAGAGAAGTGAAGGCTCTGGAGGGCAAATATCCAAATAGAACTGGCACCGTCTCAAAGATTGAATTTTAAATTGCATGTCCTGGTTCTTGTCAAAACATGTTAGAGCTTTGGGGTCTGCTTCCAGCCATGGAGTGGCCCGGTGCTGGTAGAACTTGACATTTTGGTAGAATATAGCAAGCTGTTTGTGGTCCTTGGGTTATCCCTTTACCCCTTCATAGTGACAGGGAACTTGGTATGCCAGCTTCTGGCTCAACATTTTTGCTTTGTCTTTGGTATGGCAGATAGAATGTTCTTTCTCCAGATTCCTTGTGAAGGGGAGATGGGGCATGTTCTTCTCCTGCACCCACCCAGGTGCCATGCCTACTTGTTTGGACATTGTTCTTGGAGAGGACATCTCTAGGTTTGTAGGCAACGTTGTGAGTTCAAGAGGTCTGGAGGTGCTTAGCCCATTGGACTGGAAATGGTTAGTGGTTGGGGAAGCTTCTGAATCAAAGAGGCAGCCACTAAAAAGGGAACTGACGTAAGCCTGATAGTTCTACCAATAGACATGTACCAGGAGTTTTTTGGACAGTCTAGACCAAGGTGAAATGTCAAATGCCTAATTAGTAGTCCTATCAGCCTCCCAGCAAAATGTAACAAAGCTATGTTAAGTTACCAAATCTTCTTTTACGATGTTCTATTATTGTGAGTTCAGTCTTTTTTGTTTAACATTTCTTTTATGTGAACAAATAAAATCCCTGTGCTCTACCTGTTTCTTATTGTATCCTTTTTTTTTTTCACTCCTTTTTGGGAGACCCTAGATATGAAACATAACCAAAGCCATAAGTATATTTGTATCTAGGACACCAGGGTTGGGGTTTAATGAGCTGATGAACATGAGAAGAAAGAGTTTATCCCTTCTCATTAGAAGCAGGTTCCACAAAGTACATTACTCCTGTAATCCCTGCTGCCCGTGAGGCTACAGCTGGTAGATAGCTTGAGCTGCAGTTTGGCTCAGTGGACTAGGTTTTCATACCAAGACCAGCATCAATATGGTGAGTCCCCAGGAACTGGGTGGGAGGGAGGAAGAGTCTGGGGGAACCAGGCTCTAAGGGGGGATAAAAGGCCCAAGTCAGGAAAACAGCAGGGCAAAGGTCTTGTATGACCAGTAGTGAGATATGGCCTGTGAACTTCCAGGCTGGGTAAGATGGAGAGGTCTAGTCTCAAGGTACAAAGAGAGAGGGGCGTGGGGAAGAGACAGACAGAGAGAGAGAGAGAGAGAGAGAGAGGGAGAGAGAGAGAGAGGAGAGAGAGAGAGAGAGAG